TCGCGCCTCGCTTCGGCCGACACAAATCCAACTGCGCCTCGCGCTTAAAGGGGAGGCGTGCGGAGGAGGGAGGGGGCGCCGGGGAAGCCGGGGTGCCAGCGGCGCGGCGCCGAGGGGCGGGCCGGCTTCCCAGGGCAGCTGATTGGTCGGCCCCTCGCGGCCGCGGCTGCTTCAGCGCGTGGAACTGTCACCTCGGAGGGTGAGTTCGGGGTTCGAGCCTGGGTCCTACTGGCTCCCGAGTGAGGCTGCGGCGCCCGGCTGCCATTCCCTGAGGCCGGCTCTGCGTCCCCAGCTTCTCGAGGCTCTTCAGGCCTCCCCCGGCGCGCGCGCGCCCGCTCTTCTGGGCGGGGCTGTAGAGCAGGGACCCCTCGGGGCTTTGGGGGGAGGGGGGAGCGAATCATGCCGGGCTTAACTGACGCGGTCCTTCGGGAGAGCCAGTGCGGGGGACGTTTGCGAGGCCCGCCTGGTGGAGCAGGTAGACTCCCTGAGCGGGTGGATGGGCGCAGGGAGGGGCCGACGAGGCTGCGATCGCGGCTGGGGGTTGCGAGGCTGAGCCCTGGAGAAGGAGGCTGGATCGGGGCTGGGGCGGCTGGGACGGGGACTTGGGGGCTTGGAAACGGGGGAGTTGGTAGACCTTGAGTACACGTGGAGGATAAGACCACTGGGCGCCGAAGTCGACCCCGGGAGACAGCACCAGCCAAGGACCGGGCCGAAAGACGGGAGCCGGCTAAGAGCAGCCACAAAGGAAGGCGAGGGGGAGCCGCCTCAGTGCAGGATACCAGTTTTAAGGATTTTGTGATGCACACGAAGATAAAGCAAGTTAAGGACTAGTACATGTCCTTTGGGTTTGTTCGCTACTTTGATAAACCGAAGACATAGTCAATTATAATTTTTTATTGTTAAGTATTCCAACGTACCCAAGAGTACGGAAAAATACAGAAAGTAGCTTAGCGTTATGGATCCCAAGTACTCGCCTCCCAGCCTTAACCAGAATGAGCACCCTGATTGCATTACAAGTATTTTAAGGCACACCTTAAGTTCACACTGATAATGTGTTGTTCTTACATTAAAAAAAAAAAGTTCCTTTCAAGTTTAATGGATATAACAACTCGGTTTTGCAAGATGAAGAATCCTGGAGATTGGTTGCATGACAGTCTGAATGCACTGAACACTACTGAATTGTACACTTCAAAAAATGAATTTTTAACCACAAATTTTAAGATTTATTAAAAAAAACAAACCAGTGCTGCAAATTAAGATAAAAATCTGACTCCAGGTATTGGATGGCAAGTAACTCACCAGTGAGTAGAGGCCCAAAGAGTTCTGTTTTTAACTGTGGAGGCTTTGAAATAACCTATTAATTTGGTGCTCAGAGCACTGGGCCCAGACCTGAAATAGTAATGCTTCTCTGGTTTATGCTTGAACTATTCCATCAGCCCTGCTGTGTCATATTTCCCCCAAGTGTTCGTGTTGTGTTACAGTCTGGGGCACACCTTTAAATCTTGGTTGAGCTCCTGTACCACTTCCTACCTTCATTCATCAGAGGCTAGTGGAGTGTGAAGTCATCTTTTTGTCCACTTCCATTCTTGAGGGCCTATCTCGGAAGTCTGTTTCCTCTATGCTGCCTATTTCCTGTCTCCCAAGTACCCCAGGGGCCAGCCCTTCACACTCCTGGAGAAGCTGGTGCTAACTGTTGGGCAGGCCAAGTACTGTTGGGTAACTTTAGAGCTTTCTGCCCACAACAAACAAAGCACATTATAAGATGTCTAGAATGTTAACTGCTAATTTTGGGTTCCTCCTGGAACCCCCAGTACTAGCATCTCTCCTGGAGCTAAATTTTATTAGTATGAGAAAATAACTCACTTTCATAATATGTCATTAGGGAATTCAACAGCCATTTAGATTGAAGGTGCATCAGGAAGATATATCTGTTATTATTGAATAATGACTAGCACTATTCAGGAAAAAACTAGATGCTTGATCATGATACAGGGCAGCAGGAGGCACTAAAACTGGCCAAGGACAGTCCCCAAATAATTTATCAATCACTGTCAGTTCTTCACCTGAACACACAATTGTAAGACCAGTCAGGTTCAGAGAACAAAGGAATTTATTTTAAAAACCAGGGGAAACAAAGAGTCACTAAGGCCACAGATGACTGTTTATCTCACCCAAAGTAGTGTCTAATGTTTTAAAGTTCTAAACACAAAGGCTCCCAAGATGAAAAGCCTGGAGCAGATGACACCCAGACTATATAGTCTGGTTTTGTTAAAGGACAGGGAGAGAGCACCACTGAATCCCTAAACCTGCCTGCTTTAAGTGGGTTCTGCCATCTTCTGCAACAAGACAAAACATAAAACTTCAATTGATAGGGACTTTAATACAGTAAATACACAATATGGAACACAAAGAATATAACTTCTAAATCAAACACCCGAAGTTACCCATCCCCTTTGTGGGCAAAAGTCAACCCAAAGGGGACTGGCCCAATGCAAGGCCTGAAAGCCTGTCAAAAGCCTAAAGCGCCTTCTGGCCGGGACCCATGGAAAAAGGTCAGAAATGGCCAGACAAGTCTGGGAAGAAAAGAGTAAAATCAAAATCAACATAAACACTGCCATAGTCACCTCCCTACAGGTCTCTCACCCACATCTGCCTTCACCAGTCCAGGGTCAGGAAACAAGCACAGTTTCTTCATCACATGCTTGCTGCTCCTTGTGGCTTCCTCAAGTCCATCTCGTTCTCCATCCTGCTTCCTTCTTTTCTTCTCCCTGATTCCTTCCTGTCTCTCCTTTTTCTCTGTTCAGCTCTACCCTCCTTCTGGTTGGGGCAGGGAACCTGGAACTTCCCCCTTTTTCTAGGGGCCACTCTGTTACAGTTTCCAACTCATAAAGACACTGCGAACACACAACAGGAGATGTTCACTAGAGCTGCTGAGATTTCCCAACACAGCACTAGACAAGTGACACTCAGAACAGCAGCCAAAGACCTGACAAAAGGGTCACACCTTCCCTTCAAGGCTGTAAGTGCTGCAAAGCTACCTGCAAAGCCTCAGAACTTCTCTCCTCTGAGGTTGGCTGCTGGAAGCCTCTCCTAGTCTTCAGAGGCCTGCCAACAACCTTCTGGAAGATCTGCAAGGTTGGGGTAGAAATGGCTGATTCCAGAATTGCTAAGTATTGCTAAATATAAATAAAACACTGACATCCCAGAAAACTGAATCCCTTGGGGCTGCCTCTTCAGTCCCTTACCCGCTCTTAGAGTCCTCCGCCCCCACCAATACTTTGTTCCTATTTCCCCTCAGGCTGTCCATTGTCATCAGCACCCCCCCTCCAGGGAGCATCACCTGTAATTCTCTGGCTTCGCTCTGGGTTACATTCCCATCACTGGATAATGGATGATGATAAGAAGGTTACTCAAGAACTAGGGTACAGGCCAGAGGTGCTGCGGGTGCAGCAGGAGAGGTCTGCTGGGGCTGGGATCTAATTCATGCTGCAGTGGCTGCCTGTAGCTTCATAGTACTGCAGCTTAACCCCTTGCGCCACCAGGGAGGTCCTGCCCCCCACCCCATAAGAAGGTTCTCATGGTGACTTCTACTGCTAGATAACAGAACAAAGTTAAGTTCAATATAGGGTGAACTTTCTTAGTGATTAATGGTTAGTTTTCTGTCTATACTTTCAGGGCTATCAAATGATCATTATTGAAATGTTTGAAAGAAGTAGTATTTCTCATATGTAATTCATTTACCCTTTAACTGCCTTTTTTTCCCCCGTGGAAACAGTTGTGATTTGGGATAAAGTGAGGTTTTTTAGGAATATAGCCTTCATGTTAAATCATAACTGCCTATACACAGGAGGTCATATGAAATGAATGAACCATTTTTTAATGTTTTCATTTGTAGGAAAAATGGAAGAGCTGAGTCAAGCCCTGGCTAGTAGCTTTTCTGTGTCTCAAGATCTGAACAGCACAGCTGCCCCACACCCCCGCCTGTCCCAGTACAAGTCCAAGTACAGCTCCTTGGAGCAGAGTGAACGGCGCCGCCGTTTACTGGAACTGCAGAAATCGTAAGGGATACTTTAACTCCTTGGTTTCTTTCTCCAGGCTGGCAGCTATGAACCACGCAGGAAGATTTTGGCTTGTTTCTATGGAACCCCCTTCAAGTAGGGTCTTTTAAGGTTAATCTTGGAGAGGGTAAATCATGGCAGAGCTTGTATAAAGATGAGAAAGTAGGGAGACTAAAGTTTGAAAGCAAAAGCTCAGTAATTTGGTTAAATTTTTCTTTCCTGGCAGAGGTACTGAGCTTTGCGACTTAGAGATTTGTGAAAACTACGCCCAGATTTCCACTCCCCGTATTCCCTATGTGGCTTCTGAACTCTTAAGTCCTGGCCTTGGTGTGGTCTTCCTGTCTGCCTTCAGCCCAGATGTTTCTGTGCAGCCCTTGGGAGTTCAAGATACAATTCCACAGAGAATCTATATGGAAATATCTTCCATACACTTCACTCTAAAGGCCAAGATGAGCAAGCAGCAAGGAATGATGGGAGTGTTTAAAAGCTGAGCTGTTGGAAGGCAGGGCCCATCCTTTTACTGTCTGTGAAATATGGCTCTCTTCTGGGCAGTAAATTGAGGAATTAAGGAATAGGAGAAACTGTTAATGGCTGCACGTTTTCCACTGTGTTTTGCCTAGTGCTGGGCAGTTTTAGCCAAGATGGTTCCTTGAGGTGCTTGGATGACTTGCAGGTTACATTCTCAGATCACTCCCCTCTAACCCATCATTCATCCCAGTTTTTAAAACTTACTAGGGCCTCCATGGTGGCCTACAGGTTAAGGTTAAGTCTTAGCACTGTCACTGCTGTAGCCTGAGTTCAATCACTTGCCAAGGAACTGATCCACATACGGGACAGCAGACCTCTCCTTTCTTGCCCCTTGTTCTCCTTAGCAGTATATTTCAATAGATCTGTTTGCTTGACTCCCCACTCTGTCTCTTTTGAATCCTCTCACCTTCATACATACATAAAAAAAATAAATAAAATTAAATATAAATAAGGGCAGCTCTCCCTGGTGGCACAGCAGGTTAAAGCACAGCATTGTGAAGCTGGCTGAGGCTGTGGCTGCTTCGGTGGGAGTTCGATCCCCACCCGGGAGGTGATCCACATGGCCCAGCAGACCTCTCCTGTCTTGCCTGCTGCTCCCCTCAGCAGTGTACTTTGTAGATCTGCCTGTTCAGCTCACCGCTCTGCCTCTGGTGAATCCTCTCACCACCCCTGCACCTCTGGCCTGTACCCCACTTCTGTATGCACAAATAAATACACCTTTAAAAAACAAACAATGGGGCCCTCCCTGGTGGCGCAGCGGGTTAAAGCACTGCACTGAGAAGCTAAAGCCACTACCGCCACTTCCGCATGAGTTCGATTCCCGCCTGCCCTGGAGGTGACCACATGGTGTGGCAGACCTCCTCTGACCCACCCGCTGCTCCCCTCAGCAGTGTGCTTCGTCGATCTGCCTGTTCTTCTGCTCCCCACTCTGTCTCTGGTGAAGCCTCTCACCGCCCCTGAGCCTCTAGCCTGTACCCCGGTTCTGTATGTACAAATAAATAAATCTTTAAAAAAAACACAAAAAACAAAAAATAAAAAAAGAGAAGTAAAATTATAATTAATTGGAACAGGTAATTCATTCATGTGGTTCCAAATACAAAATACATGAGTATGTGATTGAGTCGGTCTCCCAGTTCTGTCCTCTAGCCATCTACTTCCTCTCTCTCGTGTGTAGCCTTTAAAAGATCTGTACAGATATGAGCAAGTGTCTGTTATATATGTGTTTTGTCCCAACTTCTGTGACCGGCTGCAAGAAAGGAAGGTGGGAGGCAGAAAGGCTGAGCAAGCAGAGTTTATTGCTCCTGGACAGCAGCTGAGACAGAGCCCCTAGGGTGGGGTCCGCAGCTACTGCCAACCCAATAAGGGGGAAGAGTCTCTTATATAGATTCTAAACTCAGATTCCAAAGGGGTGACTCATCGCTGTGTCCTTTGATGTAAGGCCCAGTTCGTTATCAAACTTGGATGTGGGGCCCAGTTTGTTATCACCTTCAGCTAGTCCCATCCCGGATACAAGGTCCCATTAATTGGATGCAAGGCCCAGTTTGTTACCTCCTTATCACCTTTGGATGCAAGGCCTGATTTATTACTGCCCTTATCCGGTCCCTCAGTAAATCTCCGCATTTGGTCACTCCCAACAATATGTACATACCTTTTTTTTCCCAGCAGAAGTATCAGTGAACTACATGTTTTACATACTTATTTAGCAGTACTTTTTAGAGCAGTTCTTTATCAACTCACGTTGTGCTACCTCATTTTTTTTTTAAATGGTGCCATGCAGTCCATGACGTGATATGTCATATTGTAATCTAACCAATCCCCTGATGGCATCTGGGTAGTTTCCTCCTTTTGAACTTACTAACAGTGCCTGGGAAATAACCCTGGACATGCATCCTTTCACACAGTACAAGTATACCAGCTCTCCTTTATCTTGAAACAAAAGATGTGCTTGCATACAGTCTTGGTACACATCTTAGTGTAAATGTCCGTAAACATGTGTGCCTTGGGAAAGTACTATCCCTCTTGGTCTTGTTGGTGGTTGGTCTGCCTTAGCACTGAGGAAACCACTGTGAGAGGGTCCATGATATCTAAAAGTCCCTCTGCAACAATCAATTTCCAGAATTTCTTTTTCTTCCTTTTCAATTCCTTAAAAAAAGATATTAAATCATAAACTAAGTGGCTTTTTTTTTGGTAAAGAATTTTTTATACATTTAGAACTTGGGTACAGGCCAGAGGTGCAGGGGTAGTGAGAGGATTCACCAGAGACAGAGTGGGGAGCAGAACAGGCTGATCAGCAAGGGGGGCTGAGGGGGGCAGCGGGCAGGTTAGGAGAGGTCTGCTGTGCCACACCATGTGGGTCACCCCAGGGCCAGGGATCGAACTGAGCATTTAAGGGGCTGTGGCTAGCTTGCAGTGCTGTGCTTTAACCCGTTGCACCACCCAGGAGAGCCCTAAGTGGCCTTTTTGGAAAGTTTGACGGGAATTGGAGGAAGGCCTGACTATTCTGCAGAAAGCTGTAGAAAGTGGAAAGTCCCAGAAGCTGCCCTTGTTTTAATTATCTGACTATATCTAAGTAGTTCCTCTCTTCGGTCCCTAAGGGCCTTTGGACTAGATGTCTTACAGGCAGGAAAGTGTCAACTCTCACCTGGGGTGGAGGTTGGGGAGCAGGATGAGCTGGGGGAGAAAAGGAGTGGGGTGGCTTGGGGGTGGGGTTGGGGGTGTGTGGTTAGGGTCAACTTTTCCAGCTAAAAAACCTTGAAAATTCCTTTAAATGTTTTACCTTGCCTAGTCTTAGGAAATTCTGAGGAAGGCTGGGTGTGTTCAGAGGGGGCTTCTCTGTAAGGAAGCAATCGCTAGCTTAGCTTGACCAAAGAAATTTTTTTCTTTTTTAAGATTTATTTATTTGTGCATACAGAACTGGAGTACAGGCCAGAGGTGCAGGGGCGGTGAGAGGATTCACCAGAGGCAGAGTGGGGAGCAGAACAGGCAGATCAACAAAGAATCAACTGCTTAGGGGAGCAGTAGCTGCTGCGCCATGTGGATCACCTCCAGGGATGGAGATTGAACTCACACTGAAGCTGCTATGGCTAGCTGCTATGGTTAGTGCTATGTCCTAACCCATTGCGCCATCAGGGAGGGCCAGAAATACTTTTTTTTTTTTTAAACAAAGGAAATTCTGTCATCTTTTGCCCCCACCAGAATCCCTAACTTTGAATTAAGTTTAATCTGTCACATTGTAGGACCTTGCTATAAAGTAAAAAGCCCTGTTCTTAGGCTTTTTTCTTTTTTCAGCAAGCGGCTAGATTATGTGAACCATGCCAGAAGACTGGCTGAAGATGACTGGACAGGGATGGAGAGTGAAGAAGAAGAAGAGAAAAAGGATGGTGAAGACATGGACATTGACACTGGCAAGAAGTTACCAAAACGCTATGCTAATCAAGTGAGTGGCCCAGGGATTAGGCCCAGCTAGTCCCTCTCCCTCCACTGAGCTGTTGAAGTAGTGCCAAGCTCTTTATTTGTCATGGACGAGGAGGGGAGAGGAAGAAAGAATAGCTGCAAAATAATGTGGGTGCACATAAAGTTTATAGAGAAAAAGGGATAACTTACCATGCCGTGTGCTGACTGGAGATCACTGATGGGGTCTGAGGTAAGTGGGTTTGGGACACATTACTCCGTGCTTTTGCCAAAGGCTGCAGCCTGATGTGGGAAGCTCCAAAACTATTGTGATCCTGACAGACACCCGTGCCATTTCTTAAACAGTCCTACAGCTGTTCTGGATTGGGATGTATGGTCCCACCCCCTTCCAGGCTGATCTTTTCCAAGCTGTGAACAAAGATTCCAGTCTCAGCTCTTCACACTTAACGCAGTGGGAAGTAGGGAGAGTACAGTTACCTTGATTATAGGGAACCTGCTATCCACCCCAGGCCAGCCAGTTAGCCTAAGTAATAACACATCATTATAACAGATTTAACTAAGTGCCTTATTGATTCAAGAGAGGAAAAGAGGGTGACTTGTGGCATGTGGAGGAGACATGGAGCTGGATACTGACTTGGCCTCCAGGCAGTCCAGGTATGCCAGAAGGCAGTGTCTGGGTCCAGGACAGGGGGTGAGGTAGGCATCTGCCCACTACTACAGGTTTCTTTCTACCCAAGTGTTTTTGATTCTGCTTTTTAATTTATTTGTTCATGCATACAATAACTGGGGTGTAGACCAGAGGTGTGGGAGGGTGAGAGGATTCACCAGAGACAGAGTGGGGAGCAGAACACTAGAATACACTGCTGAGGGAAGCAGCAGCTGATACAAGAGAGGTCTGCTGCGCCATGTAGGTTAGCTCCCTGGCCGAGCATGAATGTGCTGTTTTTAATCCCTGTGCCTCTAGGGAGGCCTCTATCCTTGTGTTTTATTACCTCAGAAGCCTCTCCCACTTTTCAAATGTGGTTCCTGGATTCACACATGCTATCTTCTTTCTCTGGCCCTAAATCCAGTAAAGATAGCATCCTCTGTGACAAAGTATAAGTCATTTCTGCCCAGCAGGCATTACTGAGGCATCTGTTCTGTATTAAGTTAGGCTATACTTGGTCCAAAAATAACCCCTGCACTCCTAGAATAAGTGTAGATTATGGTTTTTGTTATAAGAATAACAAAAAGAATGTGAGATTAACTCCCAATAAGGGGAAGCGGGGTTGTGAAATCAGAAAAAGCAGGGCTGATGCATGGACAGGGCGGATGTGAGGGCATTCCAGAGTGCAGGAGCAGGCTGGCAGGAGCCCAGAACCCCCAGAGGAGTATGTGGTGTGTCCAGGAGAGGAGGCCAGCTGGTGGTGGTGGGTAGCACAGGCCTGAGGAACGTTGTACAGCAGAGATACATGCAGACTTTCAGACTGCTGGGGTTACAGGGAACCACCAGGATTTTTTTTTTAATGATTTAT